TTTGAGTCAGAGTCTCACTCTGTTGCCCTGGCTGGAGTGCAGTGGCACGCTCATGGCCACTGCAGCCTTGACCTGCTGGGCTCGGGCTATCCTTCCGCCTCAACCTTCCAAGTAGCTAGAACTACAGGCGCACGCCACTATGCCCTGCTAATTTTTTGATTTATTGTAGAGACACGAGGTCTCGCCATGTTGCCCAGACTGGCTGAAACCCACGGGCTCAGGCAGTCCTCTCCCTTGGCCTCCCCAAGTTCTGAGACTATAGGCGTGAGCCACCACACCCGACCTTAATTTTTCTTTTTATATAATTTTTTTTGAGTGAAGGTCTCACTCTGTTGCTCAGGTTCACCGCAGCCTCGACATCCTTGGGCTCAGGCAATCCTCCTGTCTCAGCCTCCTGAGTAACTGGAACGCATGCTAATTTTTTTTTCTTTTTCTTTTTTTTTAAGACATGAGATCTCATAAGAGGCTGGTCTTGAACTCCTGGACTCAAGATCCCCTATCACCTCAGCCTCCCAAAGTGCTGGGATTACAGGCGTGAGCCACCACACCTGGCCTAATTTTCTGTATGTATTTTAAAATTCAGAATGATGGAAAAATACCAGAAGATGCATGATTTAACTTTTTAAAATCCAGGCATGATAATATCACGTTTAAATTAGCTTGTCATTTGGGTATATTGACATGTCAGCTAGCATCTTTGGTTTATCTTAAATCACTTTTTTTTAATATAAGCTCAAAATTTTATTTTAGCACATCCTCGAGATATTTAAAATCTCCTGAAGCCTTCTTTATAACATGCTAAAATAGATCATCTTGTACTTTATTACATTAAATCATGAAGGCAAGAAAAGCTGCTACCTGAGCACGCACTCTTCTCCCATATACCACAGGACTTTTTCTGAGGTAGAATAACATGGCTTAACCTTGATATTCTCAGCATACATACTGCTTCCAGTCAAGTGTAAGATACTGGAATGTCTGTCCAGTCACAAATCCCAAGGATGTCTCATCCCAGCCTATTTGAATGAGCTGCCAAAGCCCATCAATATAATCTCCAAATTCCTCCCAATTCCCCCTTTCACTTCTAAGTATCCCAACCAATCTATATTGAACAAGCGCACGGTATTACAAGGCATTTTAAAAGGTAACTTCAAACTTTTCACTTACTCTCAATTTAATGAAGAAGGCAGTCGCCTTTTCACTTTGGCCAAAGCTTCTCCTCCATTAAGGCCTTGCATTAAGATACTCACATTAAAACCTGTTATCTTCAAAATCTCCATACTTGCCCTGGAACTGTTTTTACAACATATACAGATCTCTGACTTCCTTGTGTTCTGAAAATGGTGGATAACCTCCACCATTTTTATAGCAACTCAATTCAGGGCAATAAGGTTTTTAAAGCCACTTAACAAAAACACAAGAACACAAATCCACTTTTATTTATTTACTTTCCATTGGTTGAAATCCTTGAGGGGTACAGCATTACGTGGATTCTGTGTCCAATGGCCTTAGCAGGAAGGTTGCTTCAGAATTGGGCACGGACCATGCCACTGTCTTCCATGGATCCGAGTTATCTTTCCCCAGGTTACTCTGGTTTCGTTTGGTTTGCCGCCAGGAGCCACTGTGCTGTTCTTCGCTTTATATGCATAAGCACATCTCTTGCCCAAATAGAATTCGGTTTCATCGCGGGCATAAAAGCCTTCAGTTTTGAAAAGAGCTGTGTGCTCCCTTTGGTTCCGGAGACCTCGCTGATAATCAGCAAAAATGGCTTTGGACCACAGCCTTCCAGACATATTTGCCTGTTAGAAGTCCTGTTCCCAGCAGGCCTCCATGGGCTCAAGAGCTTAAATCACTTTTAAGGGGAAGAAGATCTTGACCTTGATAAATATCCTCATACAGCCACGATTCTAATCATAAGGCATGGATTGGGTGATTTGCGTTTGTGAGTATGCTGTTTATTTGGATTTTGTTACTTTGATTACTTCCGAGACTGTGTCAGGTAGACAATTAAAATATAAAATGTTTTGAATTTGTTTTTCATCTGAAAAGCCACATGTTCATTACAGAACCGTTTTGAACATCCAAGAAACAGAAGGAATTTTTTTTTTTTTAAATCATTCATCATTCCATTACTGAAAGGCAGTCTCTGGTGGGGACCAAAGGAAGGCCCAAACTTTACCTGTACAATGACCGCTTGTATACCTAATCCTGAGTTGTACCCCACATCTTTAAAATAAATAAGTAAATAAAAAGAAAGGCAAGGTAATCTCTGTTCAAAAAATTTTTTGGGGTATATTTCTTTGCAACCTTTTTTTCCCCAAATATTTTCTTGATTTTTACATCATTGTAATCACATTTTATGATAATAAGTATCATCTATACTATTATTTGTCCTTCATTTTTCTTTGTTTCTTTTTTTTTTTTTTTTTTTTTGAGTTGGAGTCTCACCCTGTTGCCCGGGCTAGAGTGCAGTGGCATGCTTATGGCCACTGCAACCTTGACCTGGAAGGCTCAGGCAGTCCTTCCGCCTCAGCCTTCCAAGAAGCTGGAACTACAGGCGTGAGCCACCATGCCCAGCTAATTTTTTGATTTATGTAGAGACAAGTTGCCAGGCTGGTCTTGAACCCCTTGTCTCAGTCAGTTCTCTCACCTTGGCCTCCCAAAGTGCTGGGATTACAGGCTTGAGTCTGCCTGTCCTTCATTTTTGAAGACCTGAGTCATATTCCATTATGTGGGTATCATGTCATTGCTTAACTTTTTTTCCATTATTGCCCTGGTTTTTTGTTTTTTGTTTTTGGTGACCATAATTAATGTTTTGAGCTTAAAGCTTTAATAATATTTTCAGATTATTTCCTTATAATTTTTTAGAAATGCTAGATTGAAGAGTATGAACACGTCTCAGATTCTTGATACATATTGCCAGGTTGTCATTTGAAAATTGGACTTATTTGTGGATTTTTTTTCCCTTTAGGTATACACTGGATAATAATGTTTTAAGCCTGGAACAGAGAAAATTTTATGAAGAAAATGGGTTTCTCGTCATCAAAAATCTGGTATCTGACGCTGATATTCAACGTTTTAGGTACATACCACTGCCTGCTATTTTACAAAAATGTGTACCTTGTGCCTGTCATGGAAATACAAGGTAGATTAACACCAACACATGCAGATTTTTTTGAATGATGTGGTTTTTGGGGAAGAGCTTAGAAGCATGGACTCTGAAGCCACACTTTCTGGCTTTTTTGTTTATTATTTTTATTTTTACTGATTCATTTATTATTGTTTTAGAAACAGGGTCACGTTCTGTCACCCAGGCTGGAGTGCAGTGGTGTGATCATAGCTCACTGCAACCTCAGCCTCCTGGGTTCAAGCAGTCCTTCCGCTTCAGGTTTCTGAGTCTCTGGTGTTAGGGTCTCAGACCACCACCCTGCCAGACTGTCTGACTTTGATCTCGGCTCTCCCACATAACGTGTGTATCCTGGGGCTATTTCCTTAACCTTCCATGCCTCCGTTTCCTCATCTGTAAAATGGGGATAATAATAGCACTTACGTCCTAGGACGTAAATACGTAAAATACATGGAGAGGACTTTGAACAGGGCCTGACACATGATAACCGCTACAGAAACGTTTGCTGTTATTATTACAGTGTCACCAAATCATGTTTTAATTCTGGCTGTGGGTTCCAGCCTGACAGGAGCCAGGACTTCTGATTGGCCATTTTTCCTCCCTGGCATCAAAATCATTCCACCTGGGACTGGAGGCTGACTTCAGACTGAGAAAGCCCCCTGAAGTCTGTGACTCTTCCCAGAGGGCAGTGCCCAGCAGGTGCTCTGAGCCTATGTAATTGACCGGATTTGCAAATATAATTTTCTAGGGATGAGTTTGAAAAAATCTGCAGAAAGGAAGTGAAACCATTAGGATTGAGAATCATGAGAGACGTGACCATAGTGAAGTCAGAATACACTCAGAGTGAGAAGATGGTTTCCAAGGTCCAGGACTTCCAGGAAGATGAGGAACTCTTCAGATACTGCACGCTGCCCCAGGTGAGACTCTCCTGTGACTTGTCTCTATTCAGTCTCCAGACTGCACACCTGTCCCTAAAAACCTGCTTCTTTTAGCCGGACATGGTGGCTCATGTGTGTAATCCCAGCACTTTGGGAGACCGAGGCTGGAGGATTGCTTGAGCCCGCGAGTTCAAGACCAGCCTGGACAATATAGTGAGACCTCATCTCTAAAAAAAAAAAAAAACCAAC